ACGAGGTTGGGGCTATAAAGGATGAGGCCGAGGAGGCTAAGCTCGAACTGGTGTGAAAGTCCAAGGAGTTTGAGGACAAGATGGCGGAGGTTAAGGAGCGAGTTTGGGAAGAGTTTAAGACGTCTGTGGATTGCGACAGGATCAAAGGCGAGTACGCCTCGGGTGCCTATCTCCATGCTTTTAAGGAGGTCCGAGCTTTTCTTCGAGCAAGGTTGCCCGACATTATCCCTGAGGACCTGAAGACAGTGCCCTCCATTGCTGATACTCTCGAGCTCTCAAAGTCTGATGATGGGAGAGCAAATGAGGATGACGATGGCATGGAGGGGGGAGAGGCTGAGGATGCAGATGATGAGATCGACATTACAAACCTCGATCCCCCATTGTGGCATATAGGCTAGGCAGATCCCTCCTCGATCCTCGTGCTCTGTATTTCTTTTTGAAACACTTTTTTTGAAATGTAATTAAGTGTTTTTCTCGAGGTTAATAGTAAATGATAGCTCGATCTTGATCACAATTCTCGAATATTTGTTTTAAGATTTATGTTCTGTGTATATTGTCGTTTTTTTTTTAGAGTTTAACCAAAAATGATCTCGACCATTAAGATAATTAATACCTCAATGATAATGATTCATTGCTAATCTCGATGCCTAAATGAAGTTTTAACCTCGACGCCGAAGATATTATATCTGACGACAAAGTTTCATTTAGGTCATGCTCGACCAATAGGATTATCTCGAGGACTAAATTTCGCAGTTATTTTCGAAATTATGTACTAAGCTCGAGCATAGTACATGTTTATCTCGAGGACTCAATTTCACAAAATCATTTTTGATGATCATTGTTGAGCTCGAGCACATGAGTTATCTTGAGGACTTCATTTTGTAAAATCATTTTTCGATATTAGGCTTTTAGCTCGAGCATAGTAAATCTCGAGGACTTAATTTCGTAAAATTTTCTAAGGTAGTAACTCGATCAAGTCATTCTTTAATAGGGGGATTATCTCGAGGACTAATGACAATGTATGGTACCGACCTATAGCGTGATTCTCGAGGACAATGATGGCCTTTTTATAAGATCTGACATATCATTGATCGGGCACTGTGTGCTCAGGAAGGTTACTTGTATCGTTTGCCCTGGTAACAATTTCTATGTGTTTGCTTGTGGTAAGATTTTTTGCTTGCACGGGACAAGGCTTTTTTGGTTGCTTGCGGGGGGCAAGACTTTTTGGTCGCTTGCGTGGGGCAAGGCTTTAATTGCTTACGCGGGGTAAGGTTTTTTGATTGCTTGCGTGGGGCAAGGCTTTAGTTGCTTACGCGGGGCAAGACTTTTTGATTGCTTACGCGGGGCAAGGCTTTAGTTGCTTGCGCGGGGTCAAGGCTTTTTGTGGCTAGATCATATTTTGATAAATAGCTTTATCATACTTTAAAAATAGACTTGGCACGCAGGCCTGACAACTAAAAACGTGAACCTTAGCACGCAGGCCTGACTACCGAAAAATAAGACTTGACACGCAGGCCTAAAAATTGAAAACGTGAACCTTGACACGCAGGCCTCAATACCGAAAAATGGAAAAATGGGTTATTTGTAATATACTTTTAGATTCTCGACGTTCCATGGTCTTGGAAGTGGTCTTCCTGATGCATCCCTTAAACTGTATGCACCTCCTTGGAGCTGTCGAATGACTTCGAAGGGCCCTTCCCAAACTGGTCCTAGCTTGCCCGGAGCATGTCCCGCTGCTTCGGCCCTTCTTAACACAAGGCCTCCAGCTCTGAATCTCCGTATCTTTACTTTTTTATTGAAGTATTTTGTAATTTTATCTTGGTAAGAGGCCACTCCTAAAGCTGCCTGGTCCCGAACTTCTTCCAAGAGGTCGAGATGTTCAGTGGTGTCTCCTGCATCTTCAGGCTCAAGCCTTCTCTGGCTGGGCAACCTAACTTCAACAGAGATGGTGGCCTCAATACCGAAAGCCAACATGAAGGGGGTTTTCCCCGTAGTGGTTCTGTGGGACGTTCTATACGTCCAAAGTATGTAAGGTAACTCATCAGACCATGAACCTCTTACATCTCTGATCCTTGTACGGAGGTCTTGCAATATAATTCGATTGATTACTTCGGCAAGACCATTACTTTGAGGATGGGAAACTGATGTCAAACAGTGGTCGACCCCCAGGTTGGAGCAGAAGTTTTTAAATTGTGCATTGTCAAACTGCCTGCCATTATCAGTTATGAGGACTTTTGGTATCCCGAACCTGCATATGATGGACTTCCAAATGAAACTTCTCAACTTAGGCTCTGAAATTATTGCCAAAGGCTCGACCTCCACCCACTTAGTGAAATACTCTACAGCCACCGCCACAAACTTCAGTTGCCCCCTAGCTATTGGAAAGGGACCAAGGATGTCAATTCTCCACTGCTCAAACGGGGCCGTGCAACTAATGCTAGTGAGGTCTTCTGCGGGAGAATGGATGATATTGATGAATCTCTGGCACTTGTCACACTTCTTGATATATTCCTAGGCGTCTTTCTTCATGGTAAGCCAATAATATCCATACCTTATGAGCTTGAAGGCTAATGCCCGAGCTCCTTGATGGTTCCCGCACACCCCTTCATGAACTTCTTTTAGGGCCTAGGATGATTCGAAAGGCTTAAGGCATCTGAGGTATGGAAGTGTGAGGCTTCTGCGAAATAGAACTCCCTCAATAATGCAATACCTTGGGGCTTCGGACCGGATGCCTCTTGCTACTCGAGGATCTTCTGGAAGATTGCCATGTTTTATGAAGTCCACTATTGGATCCATCCACAATGGCTCATCATCAATATCCATGATGCCTATGGTCTGATTGATGCTTGGCTCGGTTACAATTCTAAAGTGTACTGTCCTGTCAAGTCCATCTATTCCCATAAACACCAATCTTGACAAAGCATCGGCCTTACAATTCTTAGCCCGAGTAATCTTCACAATTTCACACCCCTTGAACTTTCTCTAGAGATCATGCACTTTCAAGCAGTATAAACTCATCTTCTCATCCTTTCTATCGAATGTCCCTTCAATTTGTCCAACCACCAACTGAGAATCACTGTAAATTTTGATATTTTCAAGCTCGAGATTGATGGCAAGTTCCATGGCTATGATGACGACCTCATACTCCGCTTCATTATTGGTCGCTTCAAATTCGAACCTGAGTGCACACTGAATGTTTATGAGCATGTCCGGGCTTATGATTATGACCCCTACACCCGAGCATCAATATCCATGATACCTATGGTCTGATTGATGCTTGGCTCAGTTACAATTCTATCGTGGACTGTCCTGTCAAGTCCATCTATTCCCATGAACATCGATCTTGACAAAGCATCGGCCTTACAATTCTCAGCCCAAGTAATCTTCACAATTTCACACCCCTTGAACTTTCTCCGGAGATCATACACTTTCAAGCAGTATAAGCCCATCTTCTCATCCTTCCTATCGAATGTCCCTTCAATTTGTCCAACCACCAACTGAGAATCACTGTAAATTTTGATATTTTCAAGCTCGAGATTGATGGCGAGTTCCATGGCTATGATGACGGCCTCATACTCCGCTTCATTATTGGTCGCTTCAAATTCAAACCTTAGTGCACACTGAATGTTTATGAGCATGCCCGGGCTTATGATTATGACCCCTGCACCCGAGCCCGAGGAATTTGATGCTCCATCTACAAAAATTTGTCACATGCCTGTGGTCGAGCTCGAGCTACCATCTGGCCCCCGAGGCCTTAGGGTGAGTTCTGCAATGAAGTCAGTTAAGGCCTGAGCTTTGATAGAAGGACGGGCTTAAATTCTATGTCAAATTCTCCAAGTTCAATTGCCCACCTCAGTAGTCTTCCTGAGACGTCTTGTTTCTGAAGAATGTGCTTTAGAGACTGATTGGTGAGCACTATAATAGGATGTGACTGAAAATATTGACGAAGTTTTCGTGTCGCTACTATCAATGCAAGGACAAGTTGTTCTGCCAAAGTGTATCTCGTTTCTGCATCAAGTAGGACTTTGCTTACGTAATAAATGGGTTGTTGGCCCCTGTTAACCTCTTTCACCAAGACACCACTCACTGCATTCTGAGATACGGCTAAGTACAAATACAGAGTATTCTCCAGGCTCAGGTTTGGTGAGAATAGGAGGAGATTCCAATGTCTGCTTGAGCTCCTGAAAAGCCTTCTCGCACTCCTCATTCCATTCAAAGTAATGATTACGCCTGAGGGCTTTGAAGAAGGAGAAGCACCTGTCTGCTGCTCGGGACATGAACGTGTTTAAGGCGGCTACCCTGCCTATCAAATTTTGAACCTCTTTCTTGGTCCTTGGTGATTCCATTGTTGCCAAAGCCTGAATCTTGTCAGGGTTGGCCTCAATCCCCCGATGAGTGATTAAAAAACCCAGAAGCTTTCCTGAAACTACGCCGAATACACACTTCTCTGGGTTGAGCTTCATCTTATATTTTCGAAAGGTGACGAACACCTCCTCTAGGTCGGATATGTGTTCCTCTACCTTCTTACTCTTTACAACCATGTCGTCCACATAGGCCTCGATGTTCTTCCCTATCAGATCGGCGAAGACTTTGTTGATGAGCCTCTGATATGTTGCCCCAACATTTTTCAACCCAAATGGCATCACCCTATAGCAATATATGGCCGAATCAGCCATGAATGAAGTCTTCTCTTGGTCTTCTTTGGCCATGAGGATTTGATGATACCCTGAGAATGCATCTAAGAAGCTGTACAGCTTATGTCAGGATATGCTATCCACAAAACTATCAATCCTAGGTAGCAGGTAGCTGTCCTTTGGGCATGCCTTATTCAGATCTGTGAAGTCAATGCAGACCCTCCATTTACCGTTGGACTTTTTCACCAGAACAACATTAGCGAGCCAATTGGGGTATTGGACTTCTCTTATGAACCCCGCTCTTACCAATTTACCGACCTCTTCTTGAATGACCACACGTCTTTCTGACGCGAACTGCCTCTTCCTTTACTTAACAGGTTTGGCCCCTGGGCTGATATTGAGTCTATAGACGGTGAATTCTGGGTCTATCCCGGGCATATCCTCCACCTTCCATGCAAAAACATCGATGTTGCGGGGCAGACAATTAAGGATTTCCTCCCGGAGGTTGGCCTGGAGATCCCGACCAATAGTGACGGCTTTCCTATGCTCGAGCTTGACCACCTTTAATTCTTCAACGGGGGCTAATCTGTCCCTTGGCTCGAGCTCGAGGTCTGAAAGTTGCATGACGTCTGTACTCATTCCTCTAATGCTAGTAACATAGCACAGTCTGGCAGCCGTTTCGTTTCCTCTAACTACTCCGATGCCATGACCTGTGGGGAATTTCATGGCAAGGTGGAAGGTTGATACAATAGCCTAGATCTTGTTTAGTAGGGGTCTTCCCAGAATGATGTTGTAGGCCATTGGGATGTTAACCACTTGGAATGGCGTGATCTCTGTCACTTATGTATTACCAGATCCTAATGTTAGCGGGAGCTCGATGATGCCTTCAGGGATAATGACTCCACCACCAAATCCCTGTAGAAGGGTCTTTACTACTTTGAGCTGTTTCTGAGAGATCCCCATTTTGGCGAAAGCCTCCTGCGAGAGTATATTTGCTGCACTCCCATTATCAATCAGAATCCTCTTTACTTCGAAGTTAGCCACAACCGCAGAGAAGACCAAGGCATCGTCATGAGGATATGATATTCCTTCCAAATCTCTTGCACCAAAAGTGATGTCTTTAACTTCATCACTCGATTCTCTTAGGGTATGAGCATGTTGGAGGGCATACTGCTTTCGCCCACTACTTATGTCTCCACCGGATGCTATGCCCCCAACGATAATATTAATGGTTCCGACAGTGGGTTGAGCACTGCTTCCGGCTCCAGGCTCTTTCCGATTGTCACGGTCATGCCTTGGCCGTTTATCATGATCAATGTAATTTTTTAAAAATCCTCTTTTAATGAGAGCTTCGATTTCCCGCTGCAAAGCTTGACAATCTTCCATGGTATGCCCATGATCCCGATGAAATTCGCAATATTTGCTCCTATCTCTTGTGTCAGGGGGGACTTTATCCTCGAAGGCCACTTTAATTTTTTCATATCCTTAATCGCCATCAAGATATTGGTCTTAGAGGTGTTCAACCGAGTTAGAGATGCTGAGGGCGCCTCATATCCTTAATCTCCATTTTTCCCGAGGATGATCATGTCAGGGAACGGGATCATGTTGCCTCTTGTTTTCGACCTTTTCATGAGGAGGACCCGCTCTCCTTGGATTTAACATCTCCTCCTTATTGATGTACTTTTCAGCTCGGTTAAGGAGCTCGATCACTGTCTGTGGTGGGGTCTTTGATAAAGACATTTTGAAGACCTCACACCTTATGGTATAGGTGAGGGCAGAAACTGCTGCTGTAATGTGGAGGTCGGGTATTTGAAGTCTTTCCTTGTTAAATCTTGTCATAAAATCTCGTAGGGTTTCATTCGGCCCCTGGCGTAGTTGCATGAGGGAGGCTGCGGTTTTCCTGATTCGCTTGCTACTCGCAAAGCAGGCTGAGAACTTATCAGCCAAATCTGAGAATTAGGCTATGGAGTTCGGCTCCAATGTCGAGAACTAATCCCTAGCAGCATTAGTCAGTGTTTGTGGAAAGGCTTTGCACGTAACCTGATCCGGCGCAACTTGCAAGTTCATGACGTCAGTATATATATTGAGGTGGTTGATGGGGTCGAACGTCCCATCATACTCCTTAATGCGGGGATATTTGAATCTGTCGGGTAAGGGATATGACAATATCTCTGGCGTGAATGGAGAGTTAGGGGTGAAACCTGTTGGCCCCCGAGCATTCCGTTGCATACGAGCTGTAATTCCTTCTTGAATGATTCGGGCAATTTCACCGAAATTCATGGCGACCGACCTCGAGCCCGAGGCCATATTGTGAATACCCGAGGTTCCTACTCCGCCATTTGAGGGGTTCGGTGGTCGTGCTCGAGCATCGGCCATAAAATCGCCATGCTCCACCTGTGCTGGCGACGGATGTGAATTTCTTTGACTTAACAGTTGTGTGAGTATGGCCACCTGCTGATGAAGCTCTTTAAAGGCTTCGATTGTGATGATCGCTGGCAGAGGTGCGGGCACTCCTGAGGATTCTTCATGAGGAGCCGGTTGATCTTCGACATCGCCCCTCCGATGCTTAAGTCAAAAAAGGGATTGAAAGATGAATATATGCTGGATATTGTGTGTGTAGAACGTACCTAAATAATGGACCTAGGTCCTGTATTTATAGTGGTAGGTAGTGCACTCCTAGTAGGATTGAATAAGTTTGACGTTCTTATAGAGTCCTGCCTGAGAGAAGTATATTATTTTTAATATAATTGCATGACCAATGATACTATTGTTGACAAAGAGTTCTTGTGGAAGTAAGAGTCCTGGGTGGAGATGTTTGAATCACATTGAAATCCTTAGAAGGCAAGACTTATTACGGGCTCGGGTGAATTGGCTAGAGGGATAGTGCTCGAGTACTTAACCTCGAGGACTTATGAGCTTAGGAGATAGAGAAGAGTCCTCGGGGTAAATACCCCGATGACCATGAAACCCCTAGGACTATACCTCAGAATTGGATTAAAGATTAAAAGTGTACTCGAGATGAAAGTCGTCGAGACATGTCAGTCCTCGAGTATACAACTTGGCAATATATATATATATATATATATATAAAGAATAAAGTAGAAGTGAAGGTTGAGAGCTAAGTTCGTAAATTAAAGGCTGAAAGGTTCGTAAATCAGATTGAATCCGAAAATCAAATATCAATTTAGGTATAATTCTAAATTTATATATATTTTTATAATATACACTTGAGCATATAGTAAATATCCTAGTTTTTTGAATTAAACATTTTCTGTCTAATTCTTGTGTGAGCTTTCAACAAGGGGTATCTGAGCGATATAGATCGTTCATGTGCCTGTTATACTTTTTGAATATTTTTATTGTATATTTTAGTTGATTGATGACCAGGATTAAATATAATAAGATGATTAAATAATGAATATTTTCATTGTGATCCAATTATTTGTGGTCCAAGTTGTTAATTGTAATTCATTATTTCGAATCCGTAATAAGATATGTAAATTACGACTTTATCACTTTGATTTAATTTTTTTGTTTCAATTAGATACAAAATTATGAGCCTCCAATTGGGAGGTAAGATTTTTCTTTGTAATTTTTCAATTCTTGCATTATGGAACCTTTTGTATGTCGAGTGAAGAATTGAAGATCAAACCCTCGAAAGAGAGTGAAACTTATTTCGGTTTAAGCGTGAATGATAAGGAGAGAAAACTCAGAAAAGCTTTACTGTGTTTAATATTATTAATTGTGTATTTGTAGATTAAAGAGTTGTTAAAAATGAAAAGCAGACATTTTGTGCCATTTCCTCTAATATCAAAACTTGTGTCAGGTGCTAACATATTTTACTTTAACAATTGAACTTTTGTGTCTCTGTAAAGTAAAATTCATGCTACATGTACGTTAGATTTGACATCATTTATTATATTTTACCATGTGACATTATCTACTTCATTAATTCTGAATCTTGAAATTACATCAAGGCATTGCCACCCTCCACATAAGCGTATGTAATGCTAGATATACACAAAAATGCACATCTACCAAAATTTGTGAAATAGGCATAGGATTTTGGGCTAGCGGTGGGATATATTTTACACTACATGTAATGCTATATATACCCAAAAATGCACATCTATCAAAATTTGTAAGAATCCAAAAATATCCACCTGGTTGATCCTCACAAAGTGCATGGGATCGCGTGAATTAAATAATGTCCGATCTTCGAGATGTGTGTATTCTATCGTCCAAAGTATCAACGATTATGTTCGTGTAACATGATCCAATTTGTAAAATATGCATAGGATTTTGGTCTAGCAGTGGCATATATTCTACACTAAATTGTGCCACGTGCTAACATATTTTGAACATTTATCCCTATAAAATAGGTGTACGATTCTGAATTAGCGGTGGTGTATACTCGACACACAAAATTTTGCCGCATGCTAACACATTCTGTTTCAATAACTGAACTTTTTTTTTTTTCCTACAAATAGGAATAGCGGTGACTGATACTTGACAGTAAAATTTGGGGTAAATTCATAGCTTCCCCTGCATCAATGGCTTTAGACACTCCAGTGAAAAGCAAAACCAACGTATTAAAATTCCATTCGGAGGAAGATGTCGCCGTGGCTCTTGCAAATTACACCGCCGATTTGTCGAAAAAGCATATCAGAGAGAAGGTTTCTTTCTCTGTTGTTCTTTCTAGAGGTACCCTAATTGATACAATGAGGTACGCGTGTTATTTTGTAAATGGGCTTTCCCTTTTTTTCCATTCAATTCATGAAATCAAATCGTCCGTTTTTTTTTTTTGTTGATCTTTTTAAAATTTTGATAATTTAATTTTGATGTTTCAAGAAAAATGGTGGAATCTCCTTACAAAGATTCAGTTGATTGGTCGAAATGGCTTATCTTTTGGGTGGATGAGAGGGTAGTTCCTTTGAATAGTGGTGACAGTAATTATAAACTTGCCTGGGATGGTTTTCTTCAAAGATACGCAAAATTTCGAGATATTTTTGGTCTGAAAATTGAATTCATAACAGTCCGTGTAATTTTGTTAGTTGAAACTCAATTGTTATGAAGATATGTGCAGTCAAGACAGGCAAAAGGACTAATATTGCAAGTTTCAAGGCGCCAAATTAGTAAAACAGTTGTAAATTAAGGATAACCGTACGTATCCACGAAACAGCTTAAACTTTTAGACGAGATAATTTAGTTGTTTCCATCCCAAAAAATCAACGTAACAGGTAGTCCCTTTCAAGAGATTATAAGCCAATAATTTATATTGGACAAAAAAAATCGATTCTCTAAAACTTGTGACAATAGCATCATGCCTTCGTAGATTAATCAGAATTTCAAGAGCATTGGCTTTTCACTATTTTGGAAGGTACCAATTTCTCCCAGTAACACTTATGCCATCAATGACAAGCTGACACCAGAGGATGCTGCAGATGATTATGAAGAACGTCTCAAGCATTTGGTCGATAGCAAAATTATACTTCTCTCTGATGCTAGTGGATTCCCCAAATTTGATCTTATGCTTCTTGGAATGGGGCCAGATGGACACGTAGCTTCGCTATTTCCTACCCGCCAGCAACGTTAAGAGAAGAAGCGGTGGGTTACCTTCATTACCGACTCTCCCAAACCCCCTCCACCGAGGATCACTTTCACGTCTACAGTGATCAACTCAGCTTCAGAGATCGCAATGGTGGTCACCGGCGCAGAGCTAGCCGATACTGTAAAAAAGGCATTAGGTGGTGGACTTGCTCCTGGTTCAACTCCCTTCAGTGCATGGAAGTTTCACCTGAAGGAGAACTGACATGGTTCTTTGGTTCTTGGACAATGATGCTGCTTCTAAACTCTGATTACGTGCACTTTTTGTTGAAGGAAATACTCGTGCCCTTGTTTGTGTTGTGTTGTGTTTCATAATCTTCTCATGAATCAGTCATAGCTTTTTGTTGCATACCACCATAATGATTATAGGATAAAGATAGTTGTACATAAAAATGAGTCTATAAAGATATCCTCCATCTCCCATGGGATAGGACCCACCCAAATATTTTATTCGAGTGGACCCCACCCCATCTGAGATGGAGAACACCATAATGTACCAATCTTTATGTACACCTAGCATCTCTCATGATTATATTGGCATTGTTGGGTTGTGTGCTCTAGTATAGCTTCGCTTGGGGGTATAAGCGGTCCGATTTTATCAATTTTTGACAAATTTTCAAACCAAACCGTTTAAAACGGCTTGAGAAAAATTCAAACCTAAATCAAACCATTTTGAACAGTTTGAAAAAAATTCAAACTTAAACCTAACGGTTTGGTTCGATTTTAACCCGTCGGTTTTGCCATATATTTTTTTGTCCGTCTATTTTTATGTCATTAATTTATTGGATTTAATATATATTTATATCTCACCAGTAATAAATCTAAAACAAACTAAACCCCTGTTTGAACCAAATTTTTGGGACAAAAAAATGAAAATTTGGATCATTATTCTACAAGTCCAGCTGTCCTTGTTGACCTGCTATTTCATGTGTGGGACCCAACATCCTCTCCAATAGCCAATTTTCTCATTATGATGATATGAAAAATATGGCTCAAACAGAGGTTAAATATATCTACTATAAATTTAAATATTAACTAGATCAAAGTGAAATCACAATAAACTAAAACATAGTTTTTTTTTCATTTTTGTTCACCTTTTTTAGGTTAATGACGATACAATAACGTTATAATACAAGTCTACTAAACTAGATATTAGGTCAAAAAATATAATGATGTCTAACAAGACCTCGTGATCATTATATCTGAAAAAAAAAAGATATTGATTAAACAAAGAGAATAACAAACTACAATAATAAAACAATTGTTTATAATATCTAAACATAACAATTACACAAGTTTACATTTGTATGATGTTATGAATCACATTTAATTTCAGATTCTTACCTTAGTTTGCTCCAAAAAATTATTGATCTGAAATTTTATTTGTAGCAAATATTATCATCGAAGGTCTAGGATTTCTTTGTCTCTGATTTGGTATAATGGACTTCAATTCGACTTTGAAGAGTCATGAAAAATCTGAAAAGAAGTGTGTGGTGCTGGTGGCTCAAAATTGTGTTGGGTGTCGACTGGAGTTCATCTAAATTTTGAAGAGGAAAAATGCTTTTGATAGATTATGTTAGTCTTAAAATTATTAAATATATATTAGGATTATTGGATAATAATAATAATAATA